GTTCAAATCACTACCAACTAAGCTATCGAAGCGACGTAATGGATTCGCGTTTTTGAAATGTCTTAAATGGTGTATTGCATTGTCCCCTCTTCATGAATCATTTATCACCCCAGCTACTGAAAAAAAGTAGCGCACCAGGTTTCACGGGCTAGTATTAAGTCGCTTCCTCAAAAGCTGGCATGCCATCATTCATTTTCCTGTAACAGGTTCTCATCTGACTTTGTTTAATAGATGTGAATATGTCAACAATTTCTGCTGTGCGGCTCATCGGTTGACGTTACATTTATTTGGCGTTGAGGGATTTTAAGAGCAGTTTTGCAACGACACTTTTGGCTCTGCAGCATTTTTACTAACAATAAAGAAAACACTGAAATTCTAGTCCGGCCTCCATAACCATCAATTCAGTTTCATTCGTCCACGTATCACATCCATGAAAGTACAAATGGAAGTCGCAAGAATCTTCTGTTCGATCCTTACGGGCCTTCCGTTCTGTAAAATGAAAATGTACAAGAAAGTTAGCATCTAAAGTCTTAGCAGTTGACATTTTTATGGTCGCACTTGTTTGATTAGCGTTAAACAAGCAGTAAGACCGTCCATACTTCATACAAAGGCAAAAGCGAAGTGCGCCCGATTAAATTTCAACGAAATTTGCTTTGAGTTATGGCTGCACTACTCTAAGGCGCAAATCAACCAAGTCTGACATATCCTTTTTAGTCCCCCCCCCCATGACCAAATTCGATAAAAGAGCGAACGATCAATGACTGACCTTCAGTGGCTCAAAAAAGATGGCCCCTGCGCCTGACGAATTTCTATGAAGCAAGCGACATAGTGCACTTTACATACGAAGGGAACTAGTATCAGCGGGCTTTGAAAGGCCGAATAATGGCCCGCTGCGTTGTGCACTAATTCTCTTCAAATCGTCGTTGTACTCAGCCGCAGCTCAGTCTTTTAAGTCGTCTGTGTACCACACACAGTGCAACACATGGTGTCGAGCTACATGCAAAATACGGTCAATATAACCGTCATCCAAATATCAACTAATGCAATAGGCCTGCAGGGGTATATAGAATGCTGTGATCAAGAGAAGAAATCATGACAATGGGTTCAATAACTGTTATCACTCAGACATCTAAGTGCTCAAGTGTTTGCAGCAGGTCGCCAGCATATAGGGCAGGTTCAAGCAACGAATATAGTTAACTATAGTTCAATGAACACTGCCCGAATGATGAATGGTTTGGACAATCTAGTCGACCATTTGGGACAAGGCCAAGGGGTATGGTCGCATCGTTAGTGATCAATAGCCGATTTCATTTATCATTACAGAGGGAACCATTCACGTGAAAATAACAGCATGAGATTCCAATGACCATGCACACTTGGAGAAGCGCAGCCAACGGTGAAATGTAACGATAAGACTTATAAAAAAAAGACCGACAAGGGTAGTTCGAGTGTAACAGAATTGTGCATGCGCAATGTTAAAAAGCAATTGACTACCGGTCGAACTATAGTTCGCGCCCGAACTTGGCCATACATGTTGCCTACAAAATTGTATGCAAGCATCCAGTTCATGTTATAACAGGTCGGTGTAAAATGTCGCTGTGCGTTGCATGGTTTTGTGCGAGTGCATTTCAGCACCTACGCCGCAGTTTTTGAGCATACACAATGTCGACTATTATTTGTTTTGAGTCAACCGACAGACCATTCTGAAGTGTTCAGGTTTGAAATCGAAAGGCAGTTTCTTTGACCTTCCGTGCAGCGCGCGTCAATCACCACAAATTTGACTTGCGCGGGCCTTGCGTGTATTGAGGGCGCCAGACCGCGTAAATGCGCGAAACAGCTGAAATCACATCACATGCAGAACGAATTCCAGATAATCAACACAGACTTCGTATAAATGTCAAAAGAAATTATGCAACTACTGATGGTTCTAGATTTTTCCCTGTTTTTCCCTCAGAAAAATCTTGTATCTTTAATACTTCACATCTTTCCTACCTCCACGGTGTTACGAGGTAATCACCGGAATAGAGCGCCCTCACAGATGACATGTTTGTTATTTAGATGTAATAATGAAGTACTAAAGAGTCTACTCAACGATGTCAAAAATGATGGATTTTCTGGAGACAAACTGAACAAAGACAGAAAACCTGAGAGCAAATGATCAAAATTGCACCCCTGTACTTTTTCAATGACCTGCTTACACTTCTTGCCACCAATGCCATTTATGCGCATGCATGCATATCTTAATCTTAATTTATTAGAGAAAAGGTCTACAGCGTATGCCCTCATTCCAAAGACAGCAGGGGCGGATCCAGGAATTTTTGTGGGGGGAGGGTCAGGCCAAAGATATTTTTAATGTCTCATTTCTGTGGACTTGTGTTAACCCCCCCCCCCCGATCTGCGCCTGAACAGAGAAAATAAACAAAAAGAAAACATGAATTTCGGACCGGAAGAAAAACTGAAATTCCTCAACATGATCTTGACTGTGCCCCTCCCCCCCAAAAAACAATCAAAATACACTGTACACGACCAAGACGGGATGAATATACTTCCCTACATCTACAGCATATCCGTCACTGACTTGGCAACGTTTTTATTCCAGTGAGTCACGTAGTTTTGAAAAGCTCAACAGACGGTTAACAATGCCCCTTTTTTGTAAACTGGAATAAAATAATTTGCTTGTCAATGGCTCCGCGATTTGTACAACGGTAGTAAATAGCACACTGAAGTATATCAGTAAACAGAAACTGGCTGAATGCAAACACGCTTCAAACCGCCAGATTCACACATTCACGTGTGGCATTCAACGTAACGCATGAGTGGTTCAGGTGTTTCGGACTGTTTCATTCTCCAACCGTAGGGGTTGCAATCTAATCTGGAGGGGAATTTACATGTAATGATACTCGTATTTCCACACCTAGACTTCACATACCAATTGCAGTTATTACAAATTAGTAATTAACTGATTTCAGCCAAGTTCCTGTTCTTGGCGTTGCTCTTGTAATTAATATCCAAATGTCAACCTTTAATGCAAGCCCCGTTACAAAATCAACAGTGTGAAAACGGAACTTCTTTTCTGATATTTACCAAGGCATTTGGCAAACAAAACTGGTGGAGCGGTTCTGCCTGTTCAGTCTTTGGACTTGACGACCTTTATACCTAAGCCTGTGATTCAATACACTGAATGGAAAAAAGTCACTTGGGCTTAACCGTGCGCCGGCAACACAAATAATGTGCAACCCGCAGTGAATGCGAAACAGTATACCACCGTCGTAAGAGAAATCGATTGACGGCATTTTCTAGGCTTCCAAACAACACGTACTGCTGTGGACAGAACGTATACGTACATGTATGTTGTAGTTCGGACCCTTTATGAACACCATTTTGTAACGTCACAGGTTTTGAGGGCTTCGTCGCTACACAACCCTTCTCGATTATGCCGGAAGATAGCCAACTTGGTGAGTACCGTATTTACACATTGAGGTACCCTGTAGGCAGATGTACAAATATGACACCACTGCAACTCAGTAACATGAATAGGTCTACATGTTCACGTACCTGGGCCTGATGTACGTTCGAACAAGAAACCATGCTGGCGTAAACTAAGCTTCAAATTTGAAGGATCAACCAGATTTGACCCAATCCTTCACACTGGTATAGACTTCAGCTTCCTTGGTTTCTATGAAATGTGTACCAACTGGACAATTTACCACACCATACGGTCGATTGTTGAGTATTCGTAAAGCCAACCCACATGACCCCAAAAGTTCGTACACGGTATAAGTTACTGGATAAAATGAGTGTTGAGTTTATAGACTTGGAGGATAAGAACTTTTTACGGAAAGAGTTCCATAGGACAGCACTCAACACAAATCTTATAAGACTGGTCTGATAGTTCCGTGTTAAAGAGAATTCGTCAATATTTTCTCGGCTCTATTGACTTTTTAGGACGTATTATCACTTTCCGATGGCTAATAATTAACCATTGCAAGGGGGAAAATGTGATGCCTCTTTATGGAATAATACTTTAATAGATATTGGTTATCATTGCAGAGGAAAACGAGGGGCCTGTAATATTATACTGGCTGCGAAAAGTCACACAGGCACCGAAGCAGGTTTACACTGTACATTGTCTTCGATTCAAGTCGTTAAACTGGGACATAGGGCCTAGGTATTTTATTGTCTATGAATATAGGCTGATATAGCCTAACAAACTAGGAATTCAGACAGCGGAAAGCCACACAACCCGGTTTACTTGGCTTTCTAAATTTCCATCGGTCACTTTGAGCATGTAGTTTTTTTTAATGATAATCGGTAATTTGAATACTTGATTTCTCACAGTCGCCAGAGGGCGCTGTTCCAAAGACATCCAGTTTTAAAGAAGTGGAGTCCCACGCGTTTTCTTTAAAACCAGATAGACGGGAATCAATTTGGTAAACTGTAGATTACAGAATTGGAATGTGCCCGTTTTCCTTTTCACTCTTTTTTTCCATCTGGGCAAGAAACACGGCATGACGTCACTCCATGATTTAGAATTTCATTTGGAGTAAGTTTGTTGCCTCCTTGGCATTAACCTCATATCTGTACATCTGGGGTATTTCGTACATTGCCATGAATCACCCTGTTGTCAATTCCAGATGGTACATTTAGAAAGTCAGACCACATGGCTCAAAAGGATCCCAACATTATGGCTACGATGCAGCCATTTAATGCTGACCGATTTTATTTCTGTTTACACGAAATGAATTTATTTTTTGCATTTTCACCTGCAAAATTCATAATCCACGACAAAGAAGAGTTACATTCATTTTTTTTAAGTTATGACCAAATAAAAATGTCCTTGACTTCCGTCTCAGGGATATGTTACGTGTATACATTTCCTCATTCGTCAGCTGTAAAAATACTTTCGCGAGCAAAGGTTGTAATCGAATAGTTCTTACACCTTTCTTGGCGTCTGGATGCCATTATGTGCCTGAGCTCGATAAAATGCGTCGTAAGTCGTTAAACATCCTCTTGGTTACTGGATTCTAAAGTAATCTCGCACGGCGGAATATGAAGGAGCAATCAACGCCCTTACCCGCAGAATTGTCTGTATCGTGTTGCGATGCTCAATCGGGTGATGTCAGTAGACCAAGAGCAAAATATATGCCTCTTATTCGGCACACGAAAATAAAAAAAACAAGAAGTGGAGTGGGTGCCTGGTATAGTGGTACATTTACTCATTTCGAGATATTCGGTCATACACCCATTGAACGTCTGTCAAGTGTTGTGTTTCACAGTTAACCTGGTTTGCGAGATGCGCGGCGCGAGCTTAACGCGCATTCCCGACCGTCGGTTGGCAGGTCATTTTACGGCGCCAATCATTAATGTCAATACACAGCTGGCCCAGTGTTGAGATGTTCGTGTGAAGATGTTTAAGCTGCCTTCTTGTGCACATTGCATGCATTGAAGAGGCTAAGAATCCGGCGACGACAAGTTTGTTTGGGGAAGGTGATGTTACACCAGAATAAATATTCTATGTACGATATAACGTACTTTTCGACATTGAGTGGCATGTCGTGTTGACATTGCGGATGTCGAGGTAGGCCAACATACTGAAGTGAAATTTAAACACTCGAGGACAAGCACTGTGTAATGTGGTAATTAGCGTGTCCACTTGGCTTCGTTACCTTTTTCGTTTATTTCTTCTCCTGGAGGAAGAAATACTGCTGTAGTTTTTGTGCTGTTCCGGAAGTCTTATTTCAACATTTCTCCAAAATGTTACGTCCGGCATGAACGAATTTGGTGCCAAAATGCGCGTATAGTCCGGTAGTTTGCGCAGAACTACAAAATAATTGCGCTGGTGATCGTCTTGTTGACAGTGTGCTGGATTTCACTCGACTCTTTTACTACATTAAGGTCCATGGTCAAACGAAACAATTTGGAAATACAATATCTGATTGGATTGGTGCGCTTCCAAGAGTTTGCAACACGTTGGCCAATCACAATGCGCAAAATCCGTCGACCCTTTCCAAACGCGCATTGGGTCGACAGATTTCGAGTATTGTGATTGGCCCAACGCGTTGCAAAATCTTGAAAGCGCACTATTGTGAAACGCCCGTATTGCATATCATTCTTGAAAAAAAAAATAAATTCCCTTAATAACCTATTTTCTAAAATTTGCCAACGCTGCCCAGAAATGTAGGCCTAATGAAGCTATAAGCTGCAAGCGCTGGACCACCGGCACAAATGCCTGTACAGTGCACGAACCGTGTGGTACATGTAGTCTGGGATATGATACGCTCTCTAGGGAAGTTATTTATATCTCGCGGTCAATTTATCAACAGTGCCAAAATGTTTTGTCATTATTAGGGGAGAATTTATGGTCCGAAATGGAGTCTTTGACTCCATAGGGGTTTGTTTTATGGGGGTCGAGTCATGACGCGTCCCTTGTCGGCCCCAAACGACCCCGGTTCTTCACCTGACGACCCGCATGGGGTATCACGAACTAGGAGGTCCTGCCTGCCAAACTGTTTGTGGGGGGGGGTTCCTTAATACCCTATTCGCAAAGTCTTGTGCCAAAATATACAAAAAAGTTATATCAATACCGTGCAGGAATTATCCATATCATTTCCACAAATTCTCCTGTAAAAACGAGCCACAACAATCGAAAGGCTGGATAAAAAATTATGCCTGCACTGAAATGGCTTTCATTCCGAATTATAATCACTTATTGTTCAGTTGGCGTAAACTTTTCAACACTCTACCAGAGATTTTACAGTTGTCTAACGATATCAGTCTGCTGTAGTTTAAGTGGTTTTAGTTTTGCTGTGATGGAAGGGGTTTCTTGAGTTCGACACGAACGCAAGTACTGTCCCAAGGACGGAAGGATATTTAAGTAAATGTTGAAAAATATTTTGAAATACGAACTTCAAATTGTGTGTTGATAAGGCTAGACAATTTTCAACCACCCACTTCACCAGACCAGTTCGAACCCTCGCGACTCGACGAAGGAAGCACCCGTGAGAGACCTCGTATATGCACACTTGTTTGGGGTTCGAGTTGTCACGGCAACGGTGCCCGCTCATTGACCGCATAAATCAGGAAGTTCTCTCGGCTTGTCAAATTGGAAACACAACTCGGAGGATTATGTAAACAGGGAAGTCCAGATCATGAAACCCTTGAAGCAGGGACGACTGGATGTAAATTGGGCGTGCCACTGAGCCATGGGCGGTCGCCTTGACTCAAACTTGACCGCAATCGAGACACCATCCTGGGAACGTTTATACGCGCACTTGATATGTTTGTTTTTATTCTTGGATACAGTTCCCGAATGCCACAGGGTTCGGTTTCATGACGGGCCCAGATAGAAATCAGACTCAATACGATGTGAGGGTTAATGTTTTAGATGCGATAAGTTCCTGTATGCAACTGGACATTGGTTGGGCCTATATTCGTGTTCCTCGGCCACCAGGTTCAACATTCCTAATCAAATAAACACGGAGTGGGACTAACTCGATATACGTAATTCAAGCCGTCCATTTCATGATCAGCCTCTAATTCGCCATTATTCCCTTTATCAAACAGTTTTTCAAGTACGAAATAGTTAAACCTTATTATTTACATGTAGTCGTTTCTTCCTCATCTGTCAAACTTTATTACCGTTGTCTACGTCGTTGATTCGATCTAATTTTATCACTGTGTGTATATATACCGGTATGCACCATTGTCGCCATTACAGGCATATCAACTTCTTTCTTTCTCCACTAATCCTGCCATCCCCGGTCTCGAATCATATTTGTTGATAACTCAGGGGGTCAGTGGATCAGGTTGCCGTCGTGGTTCTTTCCTCGCCTTGGACCTTTGTGGTCCTGGGTTCGATTCCCAGCCCTGTCCACATGTGGATTGGGTTTTCAATCTTGCCCGATTTCATGCAGTGGGTTTTCCTCCCACCACTAGAACTGTGACTGCTTCTCATTGTCCCCTCTCTACACGTTTCTTCAGGCTTTCGAGTGACAATGCCTAGGGCACTTTTAAGGAATCCTTGGTTTCATTACTAGAAAGACGTAAATAAATAAACTTACCAACTTTTTTTCTTCCCCGGCAGATGAGTTCCAAGAATCTTGCCTGGAAGCCCACAACCGGGTACGCAAAGATTACGGCGCCGCGCCCTTAAAATGGGCGGAGGATGTGGCAACGCAGGCGGCAAACTGGGCGCAAAATCTAGCAGAGAAGGGATACAAGCAACACAGTGAAAACCAGCGTGAGTAGAGGCTGTATGAAAGTGGTTTGTCATAATTATCAAAAACGACGAGCCCTTTCAGATATCTTGCTGAAATGTACAGTAGATATCACCCACAATTGTAAGACTGTCGATGTCTGCTGTTTTAGGGCCGTCTCTCATGTCTGTCCCAAATATTCCAAACAGTCACTTGTGAGTATACAATGCTTCATTGCCACTTTTAAGAGCAAGCCCACTGGCTGTTGACTTGTGGGCTCTGCCATTAGTGGCAGTACCCAGAAAAATTCAACTCTCTCAGATCTGTCCAAATCCGCTTGGTGGAGATTTTAGACGATGGTTGGGATTCTGTCTCGAGTTCGAGTCCCCACGCAAACACATTCGTTTACAGTCGAGCCTTGTTAAATGTAATAAGAGCACTGTTAACGCAAGAGTCTGGTTATAACAATGACATCCTTTGTTTTCCATTGTTTTCATTCCTGATAATACAAGCTTCCTGTTATAACAAGGCACTTTGCCAAGTCCAAAAGACCTCTTATTGGCGAGGTTTGACAGTCGTTTTTGTTTTTTTGCACACACCGTTAACCCATCATGGCGTATGGTAAATGTACATCCCAGTCAGACTGGTCCTCTTTGATGTACATGCTAAGAATGGTCTGTATCGTACGATTAAAACGTTCTACAAGACCGTCCGATTGAGGATGGTATGGTGTGGTGCGGGTTTTATTTATTCCCAACAGTTGACAAATAGACCGAAACAGTTGACTTTCGAAATTGGTACCTTCGTCGGAGTGTATGCTCAAAAGTACGCCAAAACGACAAATAAATTGCTCGACTAGTACTGTAGTAAAAAGGATATGCTTCTGCCCATTTGGTAAAGTAATGCATTACTACTAAAATGAATCGGTTGCCGCGTTTGGAACGTGGCAACGGTTCAAAAATGTCAATACCCATTCGCTCAAACATTCAACATAATCTTAACCAAGTACACATACGTGCGAACGCGTATTTCCCGTTTCAACTCCATAGTCAGAAGTCAGAAGTGGGCATCTACCACAGCCCTGACGTTTTCTGTTGGCTTTTAATATAACTCCGCTGTAGTTTGTTTCGATATAAATAGTGTGTAACCCTATTTGGGAACTTACAACTGCTTGAAAAAATATTTCCCTGCTCTTAAAAGGAGTTTCGTGTGCATTCCTAGAAAAGCTGCATCAAAGCCAGCATTGGTGTCTACAAGTAGTACGGCGTACAGATGCAGAAGCTCTCGCCCCAAAATCTACAGGGAACTAACTCAATGCACTCGCAATCTCACTTAAAAAATAATCCTCATTTAGCTTCAAATTCTAAGCAAGGTCTTCTCTACACTCCCTGTTTCCATTAACTTGCCATCATTTTCGTTTGTGTGTCGCCCAGTGCTCGGAGAGAACATACACATCACGACACTGGATGAGGACATCAGCGGGGAGGGACTTGTCGACCTTTGGGAGAAGGAAACGGAATACTACGATTTCGACAATCCCAGGTGGCAGAAAGGTAAAGCTCCTCTATGTCCAATTGTCACGTGGACGGCTCAAACGAAGACAGTCCAAGCGCTGCCCCGGGGCATAAAATAAAGCACTGGGTAACAGATCAGAAGCAGTGTATTGGTCAGCTGTCCCTCCGCTGAATTCACCTCGATAATTATCCTCAATCGTCCGCAAATCTGTAAATTAAAAAGAAAAGAAAAAGAACTCTTTTCTTACCATTCATTTTGCAACTAATGGAAGTTATAATACATATAATTAGTTTCTATAATCTTATAGTGTATCATAATTCACTCCTTAACTAAGCCACCAACTGAATATTCATCTTATTGTTTATTTTATAAGCTTTCCCCAAAGTAGCCAGAGGGGTATATTTTCATTGAAACCTACCTACTTGTTTATGCTGTTTCATGTTCCGCTTTCAGGTACAGAACGATTCACACAGATGGTATGGAAGAGTTCAACCGAAATAGGAATAGCCAAGGCTAAGATGCTGAACGCTGAGCGGTATGTGATCGTCGTCAACTACCGGCCACCAGGTAACACCAATCGTCCGAATGACTTCAAAAAGAACGTCACCGCGAAGCAGTAAAAAAGCTGAGCCGTTTCTTAGAACTGGTGGTGTTTGAGACACAGGATTAGAATACTACTCTCGCACTAGAAGTGAGCGATGCTTCCGAAAGATTTCAACGCTCGGTATAGAATCCCTGTCGGAGAGCCAGTCACGGTCCAACGTACACCAGTTGACGTTTTGGCCGTATTCGCACTTCAGCTGGCTGCTAGCTTATCGACCATTTTCAAGTTTTTCCTGTTTCTAGATTTTGTTGCAAGGTATTTAACTTTCCGGTGAAGACTGACGGCTGTTGTTTTGCAACCTTGAACTGGCTCTGAGAGCCAATCTTTATGTCTCTGTTACACCTGGCCTGTGTAATTGACATGGAAATATCACTGACATTGATTTCAAACTATTTGTTTGGCAGGTAAATTACATCAGTTCATCACTCTCAGAAATAAGAAAATCTGTTCTGAGTAACACAATCGTAAATCAGCTGTGACAGGGACTAGGAAAAAATTGGACCCCTTCAGAAACACCCTATTACATTTTTGTTCTCACTTATATTTCTTCTAACGCAAAGCAGGTTTACAAACTGAGCAGTGGGGACATCTGTATGATCTTGTCAGCGTTAAGTAAAGGTTTTGTTTATTCACTCTGTGATCAACTTGTATCACGATCACCTATTGTTATGGTCAATCCACGTTACCATTGGCCAGATGGGTTGGAAGTACATCTATACCCCATTCGAATGACCGTTAGAAAATAAGTTACATCTTGTTTGAAGGAGAAAAATGTTTGGATGGGTTTTGTTTCATGCGCTGCTTTTCTTTGCCTTTTTGGAAATTAAAATCTCTGGCATGCAGTAAATGACTATACAAAGGCCTTTATTTTTTAATACTAGAAAAAAGTAAAAAGTCCAGGCCATCAAGGTTTATATTTAAGGGTCAGAAAAAGTTGTTTTTAACTGTTTAGATAACTCTATTTTGCAGGTGGTAGATTTTAATAATATATATCTGTTTTCCGTCGAGGAAAAAAGTTGACGCCTGTGTACCAGATAGATCGGGCCACCGTTCAGGAAGGTCTAAAATTGTCACAGTCGCGCCCCCGCCCTGAATGAGCCACGCCCCCAAAGTTGGTTGACAGTGCTCTGGTGCACTGGGACTATCCGGTTCGTACGTGTGCCGTCACTTTAATTTAAACCACGCCCACTGCACATACACTGCACATTGAGTTACATGCAACGATCACCGTTCATGTGGAATAATGGAACCGGAAGTTAATGTGCAACTTCAGCGATAGTCGAATGGGAGCCTGAAAATCGTGGTGTGTCCGCCTTTTTGACGAAGTCACTTATGAACTGGACAGTGTCCAGGCATGCACACTGAGAGTGCCTTTATGTGATGTCTTCCATGCACTCTGAAATTCTGTTGTGAATAATTACCGGTATGTTCGTGGAGTTTGCTTTCGAGGTAAAAAAAAATGCGAATTGTGTAATAGTTTTTTATTGCAGATAAGTTAAATTGTTTGCTTAATGTGTCACTTTGTGGTGAAGAATAAGAATAAAAAATCATATTGGTATCAGTCTTCTATCAGATCGTAGATGCGCACTTTTATGTTTTATGAATGAGCAATAACAAATTTAAAACGTTTTCAGCCGCAGCTTCGTATTAAATAGTAGCATATGTAGTGTATGTTTATGTTCTAATTAAGTACAGGTGTAGTATAATTTATTTGGAAAATCCTGCACTTTTTATACCCAAATCATTAAATATTCATCATTTATGTATGCTTCCTGCTCACAGGGTTTGCCAGAGAACGAAGCTTGGTCACAATTTGGTCGTGCTAATTTTGACAATCTTTTTGCTGTTAAAGCAAGGAAAAAATATCATTTCAGTGCGAAAACAAAATAAAGAGAAATTGCTGGCAACAAATTCACTGAAATGCTTTGAGTGTTGTTTTCCTCGCGTACAGCCTGTTCTGTCCATTCATCACCTGCCAATGTTATACATGTACCACATATTTGAATGTCAATATGCCGGCCAAGATTTTTATATTGGGAATATGTAAAGACCATAAAAATTAAAAACCATCACAATAAAAAAAGAAACTGTGCATGGAATGGGGATGGGGTGGCGCGTATCAACACAAGGGGTGCAGGTTTAAAACGGGAGTTGGAAGGGGAAGAACTATCAAACATCTAACATTAAACGCAAACAACTCGCCAAATAACAGATAATGCAAAGAATTCCGGAAATCGGCATTACAGATTTATTGTCACGACTTTTCCGAATTCAACACATGAAATATATAAATAGCCTTTAAAACATCATTGCAATACGAGCGACTCACAATAGTGCGCCACCAAGAGTTTGCAACGCATTTGCCAATCAAAACACGCAAAATTTGTCAACCTTTTCCAAACGGGCAATGGGTCGACAGATTCCGCGCATTGTGATTGGCCGACGCGTTGCAAACTCTCGGTGGCGCGCTATTGTGAAACGGCCGTATTGTACATTGGTGTTCGGTATGGAGATACGGGCACGTTCATTGGTGTAATAATGGGCCATTTCCTGCATACCTTCAACACAAAAAGCTAACAAGAATTGCCAATATTTAGGATATGTATCACACTGCTCAATGCACCCCGTTAACCTCCAATGTCAAGGTTCGATTAAACAATACTCGGGGTGATATTTGACCCTGAAGAAAAAACTTGGAATAAAAGTTCCCTGCAGGTTCACAAGTTCTGACGGCTACCGTACAGAATGTTGCAAATGCAGGAAATGAAAGGGGGGAAAATCTGAAATTCTATTAAAACAGGAAGAATGTCATGCCCGAGTGATGCTAAGCGATGGCTTGATAGCATAAGAAAATGGGCCCTATGTCATGGAGCTGCGAATAATAAGAGACATCATTACTCAGAATATTTCAGCTTAGCACGAATTGGCCTCAAACTTAGAGGAACTACACGTATCTCCGAGTATCATTTGCAGCTGGTAGCTTTTAAATGCTTGGAATTATGTTTTATTCCATGCAGCTCCATAAAAGGGCCGTGTGTTAGTAACATAACAAGCCTAATCAAGCAACAAGACCATTAACCGTAAACGTCCGCAATCCTTAATTTGTTCGAGGATTTGAGGACTATTAGGATGGATGAACTAGAAAAACAGCATTCTTTTGACACATGGGTATCGTATGATTTGGTGTCTAATTTTGAAATGAACCTTAATAATAATGATAATTAAAGCTGACTCAGAGGGTAACCTCTTGAGTTTAGGCTCACAATTGCAGGTTACATTAAATTGCTCAAATCAAAATAAACCCGAACTCAATACCAAAATTCTTATCACCTGTAAAGTAAGTATCTGCATGGGTTGTTTACCCTTTAACGGGAGGGTCCTCACAGTTGGTGAGAAAAAAAATGATAATAATTTGTAACACAATGGTAAAAGTCATCAATTCAGGAAAACAGGTTTAAATACATGCAAAGAATATGAATGAAAAAATGCTTTAAAAATGTGTCACGGACAAACGAGTGGTAACCAGCATGACACTGTTTGTAAACTTCTAATTACTGACATGCACATGTATAACGAAGCTAAAAACAATATTAAAGCAATAACATTTAAATTAACACCATTAATTTTGCAATGTATTCAGTTAAGGCTTCCAAAGATTTAAAAAAAATTGGAAATCCTTACCTTGCCAAGTTAAATATCATACACTGTGTCATTTCCTGACTGTATTTGTCTTTTGAAGGAGTGGAAGTACGCACAAGATGCCTGCCTATGCACTGAGCACTACATTTATATCCAACACAGGAAAGTAGGTTTGTCTGCCGTCAGGCTATGCTTCGGCGGATAAAAAAAATCAAATTCTGGCAAAATGACGCAATCACTCTGCAGACGTTCAAATGATAACCTGCTACGCAAACCATGGCAGGTTTGGGTCAAAACCGTACTTCCGGTACAACTAATTGCAAGACGGCATTTGCACAGATATATTTCCACACAATGCTGCTACATAGTAGCAATGTATTAGTGGAAAAAATCTGCTACTTTACCATTGCATTATTAAATGATTGGGTTTTTTTGCTGTGCACGGTGAATTTCTGTATCAAATCGTTGTTTTTTTTCATCATCAAAGCTGTTTGGGCATAAACATGTCCCTAAATTGCAGTATCAGCAACTTCTTTTCCACTTCAGTGAGTCGTCACCATCAAAACAATCCTATATAATGGCAGAAAAATCCCACAGCCAGTCAGCAACTTTCCACAGAAAGTCTAAAACTTCCCATAAAAAGTCTTAAACTTCCCACGTAAAGTCTACAACTTTCTACGGATAGTCTATAACTTCCCAAAGAAAGTCTACAACTTCCCTAAAAAGGTCTACCACTTCCAAGAGAAATTCAGCAACACTCACAAGCAACTCGGCTACTTCCCGACACAAGTCAAAAATTTCGCAGTAAATCCATTCTGGAAAAGTCAATTTCCTCAGGGAATTTTCCACATTTTCTTCTTGTCTGGAAGCGTAACAAGGTCAAGTGCTTATTCTTCACCAACACATACCTATCAACTGCATAATTCTGCAAAACTTGCCAAACATGTTTTAGAAAAATCAAAGATGCCGCGGCTAAGTAGATGAAAAAAGATTCTTACACTGGGTGGCATACCCGGCATTTCAGAGTTTACTTTTTCTTGTGGATATACTTGTCTGTGTTAGGGAACCGCTGCGGGTCGTAGTCCGGGTCCCGGCGTAGCCTCTCCTGCACGGCACTCCGGATCTGCTCCTCGCAGGCCTCGTGGAGTGAGGAGCTGCCCTCGGCATCCTGCACCAGGGACTGCACGCTGGTCAGGGGCTGGACCCCGGCACCTTGGATGGCACGGCGGAGGGTGTCGGGGACGAAAGTCTCCACGCCGTTGTTGATGGGGGCCTTGCGGTCCTGGGTGAGCTGAGGAAACAGTGACAAATAGTACTGATGATGGAATGGATCATCTAACTTATGCAAAGACCTTCATGCAGTCACATCCCTTTCCACACTCGGTCAATAAAACGCACAATTATTTACATTCTTGTTTACTGGTTTTTATCCAATGGCAAATGGCAATGGGTAAACCACTTTTTTGGGGGGGCGGGCACAAAATATTCATCAGCTAAACCAACATTTTTCACTCTCAAAAGTGGTGATAATCCAGCCTTGTTTTCAAACCCTATACAAGGCTTTGGGGCATTGAGAGTGAGCGGATTACCACCGCGGACAAAAGCGCCGCAGAGCACCCCTGCACGCTAATCTGGCCCCTATTGAAAAGAGGTCAGCAGTGCACTGAGCCAGGTTCGTGAACAAAAGACAGTTACATAACACCGCACAATCTGGGCTCTGTTTACAAAGCTGCAGGCCTGGCTGAAATACTCGGGCGTCAATGAAGGTCACCTATCAACTTAGAGTAGTGCCTGAAGATTACTTGGTGCGGCTATAAACGACCATNTAATAGCTGAGAGGGGCCAATTTTTATGTACTCGCTAGTAAATTGGTGAGTTAAATCAACTTTCACCTATTTTGTTAATTTGGCTTGCTCCTTTTCGTTGTTAGTTTCAAATTGTTTCCAGGGGGCAAGTGCCCCCCTTGCCCTTCCCCAACACCCATGGTGGCAAGGCTATTCAGCTGCAGTCTAACAACCACTGTAATGGCTTCCCATGTTGATAAACTACCACTGGAACCAAAAATTGATTAACAAGTTTTCATCACAATAACAATAAAGGAGAAAAATAAGCCACTCCCCCCCAAATTCTGCCTTCTTTCTTTGTTTCTTTCAGCTCAAATCTATTTGGGATTATCGATATTATTAATGGGTATTCAAAGGCTTAGTGCAGCCTTTCAATGGTGTTCTTTTATTACAGAAAATTTGTTGTGGAATATTTTGGAGGGGTGTGTAGATGTTCAGTTATTTCGGGAGTTACCTTCATTCTCTTGGGAGGCATGCCAGCAAGATACGCATCGCTCAGGCCTCCCTGCGGGGCTTGCCGACGTTGTCGGCTGATGTCCTGGTTGATGACCGGTACCCACTCCTTGAGAAAGATTGGGAATGTTAGACAAGTGCAAGATGGAGCTTTCAATCTGTGACTCGGATTACAATCCGCTTGGTGCATGCACAATAGATGGCACCCTTTTACAAAGTGATGACGGTCCTTGGCTGAGAAATCGCCACATGCGCACAAAGATTAATGGCACAATACATGCTGTGCACACCTCATGCATATGTACCCAAGTAAAACGTTTCCCACAAGGCCAGTCTCTTCTTTTGCTCTGAGAGTGTGCTTCAACTTGGAGCAGATATCATCACAGACGTAACTGTCCACGTCATATTGAGTTTAGACTTATTTCTTGGGACCTAGGGATCTATTGTGGGATCTATTACCAGTGTCCATTGTTTCAGCTTCCATGTTGCTAAGTCACACTTCAGATTTTTTTTATCGTAACTTACAGCGGGAACTGTAGCCTCCCATCCGGCAGTTTCCATGGCAACGGCGCCATCTTCGGCATGTGTGGCTGCAGGGACTGGAGTCGCCGCTGCTTCGGTGCTCGTTGGGGTGGCCCCTTCCATGCAACTCCTATCTGCCGGGGCAGCAGCCTCCCCCTGTGCTAGTTCGGGGGCCACAACAGTGTCCATTGGCTGAGGAGAAATGAGAATAATTGGCATCATTTGTGAATATTAAGTTAGCAGGCATTTTTAGATGCTGGTAACAATCGTTGACAAGCGAGGTTTTATCTAGGATTTCCAGCGTCCTTCTTTCCTTTCCTTCCCGGTCACAATTAAAAACAATCTTTGAGAATGACACCCCTTGTTGCTATCTGAGGCCATATTTCCACTGCACCCATTCTTTTGGAGGAAACTCGGACGACTCATCAACCAGTGTTTAAGATTTGAGTATAAACAAATTGGGGCTGTAAATTTTGAACAAGTAAAACCTACCAGTCCAAATATTTGTTTTTACCTGTCCTCGGGACTGGTGGACAAATGGCTAAATGAGACACTGTTAACAATACAAGCCAATAAAAATTACTTTCTTATAGAAGAGGCTGGTGTTTAATTGAAATTTATGATACGTTTTTCAGAATCCAATTCAAACTTACACTTGGGAACAAAGGTAGCTTTAACAGTCTAAATTGATCATTTTTTGTCACGATTTATTAGAATAGCTAGTGACTTCAGGCTGAATGATTCCAGATTGGCCTTTTCCGTGAAATGACCTGATCACAATTCCGGCGACGCGAATTTGTTTGTCGGTGTTGTGTCACATACCTCTTCAACAACAATCTGTGCCTCAATGATCACCTGATCATTTTCTAAGCTGTCTTGTAGTTGGTCAGGTCTCTGTTCTGTGTCAATGGGAGCGCCAGCAGTCGCAGATGTTGGTGACGGCTCAGCAGCACTGCAATCTGATGGACCTGAAAGCGAAACAGATGAATCGGTACATTTGATTACTTCATCCGCGCTTACCTGTGGTGTTGTCAGAAGTTTAAGTGAGCATGCGTAATATGTGAAAATAAACAAACAATCTTAGTTTACAAAGGTGCACCAACCAGGTCAAACAGTTATATGTCCATTGAACTTGAAAAATGACTCCAAATGATTGAAAGCAACTTAGTGCCACTTACAGGATGAACCAAATATTAAGAAGACAATGAAGAAATGTTCCGTTTTAGAGGTGGGAAGAAAACCCCAAATATGAATATTCCAGGGAAGACGAATCTAGTCAGGCAGGGACTGAAAACCCAATCCACGTGCTAACCTAGGTGGGATTCGATACCGGGTCACAGAGGCAGAAGACGAGGAAAGAGCCACTACACCAACCTGACTCCCCAACTCCTTAAGTAACCAGCTCGGAGGGTCGGTCACTTGGGGGGGGGAGTCATCCATACGCTGTGCAAGTCTATGAAATTCTGGGCTAAACTGGCCAATCAACGCTTTCCTTACATAAAACTTAATATCTTGCAAATCTACATCAGGGTTCAGATTTGTGTGATGCATGAGTCATGGGCAAGTTACTGAATCTCTCCATAAACTGAGGCAGGCATTGTGATATTTGGACACACCAGTAAATAAGAGTCCCTTCTAACTGAAATGCTACTTGTAACTCCTCTAGTTATTCTAGACTGTATCGGAAAATTCTGAAGTTATTTGAACAACTCAGCTGCAGTCGGTAACAGGTGGAACTGGTAACGCCTGTAAGAAACCATACCGGTTCAGAACCTTCAAGGACACACATAGCCTGTAAACTACACACGTATCACTGATGCAATATAAGGAGAGTGCACGGGTCTACATTCAGACTAACCTGAGTCTGACGCTGGCTGTTTCTTCACGACAAAGTGCGCCACCTGGTCGGGGGTCACCGTCAGCAGGCGGTGGGCCAGGTCAAAGTTCTGCATGGACATGGACAACACGAGGTTGCTGGAGGCAGAGTCCAGGCCGCCGAACCACGTACGCTGAGAGATGGGACAAGAAATTTCAATGGGATACATGCAGCTTATACAACTGAATTCATCTGGCCAAGCATGCTTTAATCACATTCCCCCAAGACGATGTGTCATTTTCTTGAAGAAAAACGCATACTTTGTTGCGTGGGCATTTTAGCATGCAGAGCAGCCACGCATTGCAGGGTTTAAGAACAACACTTATCCTACCACAGGAAACTCCTCTTGACAACCAGCGGTCACTAGAGGCGCACTTGATGTTTTAGTGGTATTTTAGATATTCCAGATAATGTTTGCACACCCTCTGGTGTAAAGTGGTTCATTAATTCATTTAAGTGTCAGACGGCCATCTGACAACTCCTGGGCATATTTGGCGCGGACTGACCCAGGAGAGCATTCGGCAGGATATGGGAGGGGGGGGTCTGGGAAAGCAAAACGGGCTGGGAATTAGCAGGGTTAGTTCTTCTCACCAAGCGTTCAGACAGAAAGCGATCCGCGCTTGACCGATCACCAAAGATGTGCAGCATCAAGGCCACCCACTGGTGTAGACAGTTCTGCCCTAGCGACCTCATCTGTACCCCAAACGATCCCACGTCTGATATATTGAGACAGAGAGAGAAAGACATCAAAATTGCACAGACATTTCTTGATGGTCTCATGCTTCAAATTTGGACAATTTTACTGTTCACCTGTAGATTCCTCTTAGTTGTTTTGGGGCCCACACAGATGCTGTCCATTTGTTATTGTGGGGGCCTTAAACATTTAGGGGACACATGCTAAATCCCAACATTGTATTCTAAACATCGGCACCGACAGAAATTTCCCCCTCCCCGGTGTTGGCCGGTGCTCCAACACTCAAGGCAATGCATCAATTGTGCCCGGCATTTATGACGGGAAAGGTTCATTTGTTAAAAATAAAGTCAAACCGAATTGAGGGGAAAAACCATGCTCTGATAATATGTCTGGTCCCCACAACACCTACGTCTCAAGGCGTGCGTAGTCTCATCAGAATTTGCACACGACTTTCAACTGTGGACTCTTAACCAGCTGTGGACCCCACTGGCCTTACTGGTCAATGCGTTGTTCAAGACTGCATGTGCAAACAAAGTGGCACAAAGAAATATGTGCACTTAAAAAACCTGGATTACCTTCTGCGACAGATTCCGACTTTAACCATATGCTGCCGGGCTTAATTTGAAGTTGTATGACGTATACCTGGGGAATTTTCAAGATATTCCATTTTCACAATTCTTCAAAAATTCACAACTTTATTTACTGGACGTTTACACCCACAAGAAGGACTGTCTGGTGGCTACTCTAATCTTACAGACAACATCTATTGACGCCCGAGTATTTCAGCCAGGCCTGCCACCTTGTAAAAAGAGCCCAGATTGTGCAGTGTCATGTAATTTTCTTTTGTTACCGAAACTGGCACAGTGCGCTGCTGGCGTCTTTTCAATAGGGGCTGGGTGGCGTGCAGCGGTATTGTATCGCTCATCACTGGAGCGCTGGAGTGCTTTTGTCCCTGGTGGTGATCCACTCGTGCTGAATGCCACAAATAGTGGTACAATCATCCAGAACAATGACGGATTTCCTCTGCTATCAACAACTGAAAAAATGTACGGAATTCCCAATAGCTCGGTCTTTTGTTCCAAGTATGGTCTTTTGTTACAAGGCCTGGTTCCCTTTGTCTGATTTTGGGCACCCTGGCTATGCATGTAAAGCCAACGTCTCCAAAGCCGGACTCCCTGGCAGCAAGTGGTTAAAGCCCAAGATTGCCAAACGACATGTGTTTGATTGTTGCCTATGCCTCTCTTAATGTCAGCAGTGGGGACATCTCGTGCACGGGAACAGCTAGCAATGTGTCAGCCACTCCTGGAGTTTTTAACCAGGGTTTCAGACTCACTCTCAAGTCGCTCCCACTGGTAAGAACTCACCCGACGACGCCGTGAACAGATGTACAAACTGCTCCAGCACGCTGCGCAGGAATCTCATGTGGGTTGCAACGGCGTCAATGTTTTGAACTGTCTGGGCACCTTCCTATTGAGAAAAAGATTTTTTAAAAAGAGCAAATTAAACAACTGAACTCCGGAGGCTTGGCGATGGCTGACGCTGCAGCAGAAGTATGAACCATTGGGAGATCCTAGGTGGCCAACCTGCCCTTCCTCACAAGAAGTAAAAATGTTTGCTTTTGAACAGCGGACGAGAGAAAGGCGATTCTAGGGACCAAAAAGTAATGTTAAAAAAGTCTCCTAATGCGTAGCAAGGAGTAAAAGGACAACACAAAATGACTTTCTCAAAGTACTCTTTTTAATAAGGAACTTGTGACGTGACTGGAAAGTGGACAGCTCACTCTTGACTCGACTCAAGCTCGACTACTCCGCCTGGTAGGCAGATCTAACATACATGATGCTTTGTGTACTGGGATCTCGTATTAAAAACAATCAGAAAGTAATGCAATTTTTAAGACTGAGGTTGAGTTTAAGGAATGCGTTTTTCCACTCCAGGTGCAGAGTAATGAATTACCATGAACTCTGACACTGACGGCTGGAGTTCATCCATTATTCTTCCAACTGCCACCTAAGGAGAAAAGAATAGAGAACGAAAATTAAGTGAAGGCAGCACTTCTAACCCAGCTTTAACTACAGTTCATCAATTGCAATGACGGACAAACTTATTGCTGCAAAGCGTGCTTGGTTTAAAGATGGCTCAAGGGGACTAAATTCCCTGTGAAACTGTTCTTTCTGGCAAGCTGTCATTTTAAAGAAAACAATGACAGAAGGCCAATGATGTGTCTAGAGATGCAGCTTTAGAAAATTGCCATTAGAAGTGCATGTTGACATAACACATACGCATGCGCAGTTGCTATACATGTCATTCGTCGGTTTAGTCGTGACATCACTTTGCTGCATTTGACTGAGCGTGTCCCAGATGCTAAATTCCGGTCAATTCAAAACAAGACTCAGCAACTTTGGATCTGAAATCAAAATTCTAAAAAAATTTTGTTTTTCGACATACACAGTAGTCACTGAGCCGACACTTGATCGGGATTGTTTTCAGACACCCTTCTTTAGATTTTGAGTGATTTTGTTGCCTCAAAGGAACATTATGCACAAATGACAAAGGATGGACTGAACCCTTTTGTGCAGAATTTTGTAGCAGCTCTACGCCTCACCTGGATGTTGTCCGGGGTCATGGGCTCGCCTCTCATGATGCGCTGGTTGACAAACTGCTCCAGGCTCGGCCGGAGGCGGTCCAGCGGAGCCGGCTGGCCCAGGAACATGGCGGCAAAGTCGGCCATCCCCAGCTGCTGAGTCACCAGGTCAAAAACGTCCCCGATGAAGCCTGTTACATC